ACCCACCCACAAATCCACCCACTTAACGAAATTCGGGTCAAATGCGGATGGGTCGGCCCAAATTCGCGGATGATCCGCCCGCATGCCCAGTCCTAGTAGAGAGTGTTAGAGTTCGATAACGGGTGGTCTAAAACAAATTTTACTCCAAATATACATAAAAATGGAATATCATGTTGTAGATTAGTTCCATGCAAGATACAAGTTGATCAAGAAAAGTAAAGAAAAATTAAAAACTTTTTAATTTCACCTATCATATCCGACTCCATTCAAAATATAAAAAAAATCTAATCTAATTATACACAAATACATAACTAAGGATTAGACATCGTATTGTAGACATGAAACTTACACTAATTTCAACAAGTAGTTTCTCGTCATAAAAAATAATTATTATATCAAGTCAAAACTTATTGATGATCAAACTTAAAAGGATATATGACAAAAAAAAAAAAAACTTAAAAGGATAGTGCGCGCCAATATAATTCTTTTCTGTACTTCAATAATAAAATACTTTTGTTGCTTACTTTTGTGTATTTTTTTTTTGTTTACCATCATTTTGTTATTGCCACTGCCATAATTGTGACCACATGAAAGTTTCATAGACTCGTCATGAGAGTCACATTACCACAATAATTATGTATGGGCTCCTCCCTCCCTTTTTATTTTACACATAAGCACAAACGCATTCATTGCTTTATAACAAAATCCAAAAACCTAACCTCCCTCCCACCATTAACTTTACTCCGCCGATCCTTCCATTCCATGCATCAAATTGCATGTGATCATCATAATTATATGTGCTTTTAACATATTAGGGTTCTGATATAATATCAGGATATTGGTCGAGTCAGAAAGCTGAGTGAGCGAGGTTTAAAAAGTTGCTCTTCGAATTTGAGCGGCTAAAGTATTATTAATTACTCTACTTCTCAAATTTATTAGACGAAATTTTTTCGTGATGTTAAAGGAATTTCATGTATAGAGATTCAAAAACTAATCAACGTGATTCATGTCATAATATATATGGGATTTTCAGAATTATTAATAGAAGATAAACATAAAAAATCTCGAAGAATTACGTAAAAAATTGTCTAAAAAGAACTGAATTGTGTGAAACAAAAGGTCAACAATACTATTACAAGAGTCGGAAATTCTTACGGACACCCTAATATTCTTACAAAACTATTATGTAGTCTTAACCATATGCAGAAGTGAAGGGGAGCTATTATTATGAAATGGTATAGAGTTATAATTTTAGTATATTTTAATAGTTCTAGTTACGATATTAATTCTTTCTTATATGTTGTTAGAGCATTTTCTTAGGAGGTCTTCTCATGACCCCTAATATATATAAACGTTTCATTTAATATAAAAAATAGGATGAGTTTGTTCAAATTTAAAATTCACAAGCTAACTTTTGTGTAAAGGAGAGCATAAAAAAGTATATAAAATTTATTTTTCACATCTTTCTACAACTCGTATGAAATGAAATAATTCTTCATAGATAAATAGTCAACTTTACTGATGGGTTGTATGGATCAAATTATTGTATTACTGATGGAAAAAAATATTGTTCCCTCAACTTTACTTATTATCTCGAACAAATTTACCAATTGTTAAGTATTTTCTTCTCTTGATCAAAGGACGTGTACTCTGAAAAAACGAGAAATGACTGCCACATACAATCATACTAGTTGACCAAATGAATAAAATTTCAATTAACAAAACTGTGGATTGAAACCCATAACTAACAACATTATGATCTTACCACTAGCAGTAATAATGACATATTGGATGAACAATCTCCATGATATAGATTAAAACCATAATAAAATCCACCAAAAAAGAATCATCATTGTTTTCATTAAGTTTAATAGGTTTTGATAAATTTCAATTATAAAAGAAACACTTAAAAGATTTTCGGATTGCTTTTGACTATACTCGTGTTGGAAACCCTATACTTTTTTGTCATAGATATCTTTGTGACTAAATCATATAAGAGCGAGGAATGCCACAGCAATTACGGCATTCACTCACGTAAACTCATACATAAACTGGATAAGTGAAATCGTAGATAACATTATTGACTTGACACCAGGATAACGAAATACTTGTCATACCACGAAATATACAGTTGATTCGCGTATGGAAGTGTGAATACAAAATGTACTAGAGGTAAATCAATAAGTAAGAAGCCTAATTGGAAACCCTGTACTCTTTTTGTAGTGAAGGATTGAGCATAATGTTATCCAATTAGTACTCATATAGTTAGGATAATAGTTTGTTTTTTTTTTTTTTTTTTTTTGCATAACAAGGAGGCTAAAGCCAAGAAAGAAAACAGCTACAGGGGGAGATTAGATGAGGGAGGGAGAATTCGCCACAACTCGACGCTCAAAGGTGACACCTCTAGCATCATTCTGCAGCAAAGGGATTATACCCATAGGTGGATCAGTCAACTCATACCTGCCGTAGGGATAGACGAGACTGTGCTTCGAGAGCCAGTCCACGGCTCTATTCCCTTCTCAAGACGTATGAGTCAGGCTAACCAACCAATCCTGGTCAATCTTTCTCCGAATGAGACTCAGAAGTGTGGCGTAAGGATGAATGGGATCATGACGCTCCTGAATCAGCTGAAGAGCCAACTGGGAATCTGACGCAAGTTTCACCACACGGAAGCCGAGCTTCCAAACTAAATCCAAGCCATAGAAAATGGCCCATAGCTCCGCCAACACGGCCGTCGCGGACCCGAGATTAGCGACTACACCCCCCAACCACTTCCCCATTGAATCACGCACGATCCCTCCGACTCCTGTTGGACCTGGGTTTCCATTCGACGCCCCATCAGTGTTAAGCATGACCTAGCCCTCCACCAGCGGCGTCCATCCAACTACTGTCACGACTCGCTCCACCTGTCTCTTCTTGTGGTTAAGAAACAGTTTCGGGGCGTGCCAAGAGTCATCCCACAACTTGGTCTTGGCTATGATCGAGTGCATCAGAGATGGGGCTGTGAGAGCTGCACTCAATCCTTTGAAGGCCGTCGTGGTGCGATTCTTCCATAACAACCAAGTAGCCATGCTAAACAACCCCGGCCAATTGATGCCCGTACTGCTGGACTACTTGCTCATAATATTCTTCCGAAACCAGTCTTCATGGCTGTCACTGAAGAACTCATGTTGCTTCTTTTGGGGGACATGACGACTCCAAAATACGCCGCCGGAGCGCAATCTCGCAGGATGTGGAGCACTGTCTCCGGCTGCCCAGTACACCTCTGGCAGCTAGGTGACTCAGCCACCTTCCTTTGAAAACGCAGCACGTTCGTGGCAATCTTGCCCTGGATCGCCAGCCAAATAAAACATCTGACATGCTCAGGCACTGGCAGCCGCCAAATCTCCTTCATGTGTGTCTTGCTGGTCTTGCTTCGTGAGGAGTGCATAGCCTGACTTAGTGGAAAACCGTCCATCTGCTGCAGGAACCCAAAAAAGAGAGTCCTCCTCTTGGGAAATGATGTCGACCGCCGTGCTCGTAATCTTGTTGCAAACATCGGGGTGGAAGGCGCCCAGAGAAAAGCTCAGTACGCCAGCTACCGTCAGCACGAACAAAATCAGCAACCACTGCCTTGCCTGCATCTTCCGGCACTTCCCCGATCACCACATCCTTCAAGGGACCCTGAAAAACCCACGGATCAAACCAAAACTTAGTTCTTCTCCCATTCCTAATATTCCACGCACAACCTTGTTTAAGAAGGTCAGCAGCTTTTGAGAAGCAATTCCAGGTGAAGGAACTTCCCTGAATTTTCCGCAAGACATCGAGATCGGCTCTCTGACCCCCATACTTCGAGAGGAGAAGTTGCTGCCAGACACCCTCTTTATCCCTGAGGAGACGCCACCCGCCTTTGGCAAGCATAGCCAGGTTCGCATGACAGGTCGGCTGAATCCCCACACCTCCTTGCGTTTTTTAGGCACTGTTAGCCTTTCCCAGGCCATAAGATGGAACTTGGAGTGGTTCTCCTCGTCTCCCCAGATAAAGTCCCTACTGATCTTGTCAATACTCCTGCAAACACCACTCGGGAGAAGTTCTGTATGCATAGTATAGACTGGTAAAGAAGCAGCCACCGATCTAGCCATCGTAAGGCAAGCAGCGAACGAAAGCCGTTTCGCTTTCCACGGCGCCATCTTCTTTTGAATGCGCATGATAAGGGATTGGTATCTCCCCTTCGTGACTCTTTCTTGGATTGCTTGGATACCAAGGTATCTTGCCAAAGCTGCTTTCAACGGGATCCCCGCATACGCACTAAGCGCTTCCGCCTTATGCCTCGCAATGTTCGGAGAGACATAAAGGATGGATTTGCTGAAGTTTGCCCGTTGAAGTTAGGATAATAGTTAAAGACGATCAAAAGCACATACATCAGTACGAATGGCAATGGGGCAGGTCCGGGCGGGTTTCTTGGTACCCAGACCCGCCCCGTGGCAGGTCGGGTCCAGGTCGGGTAATTTATCACGGGTCGCAGGTCGGGGCAGGTATACCCAATGAGTATGCAATTTATATGAAAAACATTAGAAATAATCGTTATTTTTATTATAAAACCAAGAAAACAAACAATATTATGATAAATGTAGTTAAATTATTTGAGAAATTGAGGTTCTCACTAATTTAAAACTTTATTATAGCTAAATTATGATGTAATAAAAGAAAAATCCTAAGGAATTTGACTAAGAATACATGTAATTATTTAGACAAGAACGGGTCGAGATTGGGGCGGGTCAGGGCAGGTCGGGTCGATGAGAGTACCCATGCCCGCCCCGCCTACGGGACGGGTCGAACCCGCTCCACAACAGGCCAAACAGGTCAGGTAAAACGGGTGAGGAAATTTGCCTACATACATGTAGTTCTTTTTACCACAATCAATTATATATACACTCGAACATATAGCAAACCATTATTATATACCTCATTACCTCTGGATATTATCTCTTTACTCCGAGCGACAAACAATGGAATAATCATAAACAAAAACAAAATTTATGATTTGATTTCATATAATTAATCATTAGTACACGAAAATTAACGAGTTAAAAGAGGAAGAAAAAAATGGAAGACTAGACTAATAATTAAAAGCCAACTCTTTTCACCTTATGAGACTTATAATTTGCAGTTAAATTTTACCTAGCTAGTAAAAACTTAATTACATTTTTACCCCATCTCCCTCATAATTCCCTCCACCCAAACTAAAAAAGCAGTCAACAACTAATTAATTAATTAGAAGTAATCAAAATGCTGATGCTGCCGTACCGCCGGAATCTGGTACGGCGCCTCCCTCTCTTTCCGGCTCATCAGCTTCGGCATCATCCGGCTCGCCACATTCCGGTCCCTCGGCACCTCCGGCGGCCGGACCGACCGAATCAGCGCCCAATTCACCCCCCGGAAAAACTCGTGCCGCTTGATCTCCGCCGCCCCTTTCAGGCTCCCGATCCTCTTTTTCGGATTCTTCACCAGCAGCTTGCTTATCAGGTCCTGAACCCTCGCCATCTCCTCCGTCTCCCTTCCGCTTCCGCCGGCGGCGGCGGCCGACCTCGGGAACGTCAACGGCTGTTTCAGAATATTGATTAGAGTCTTTTCATTGTTCTCCCCCTTGAACGGCGTCCTCCCATACAACATTTCGTACAAGAACACCCCCAGAGTCCACCAGTCCACAGCGCTGCCGTGCCCTTGCCCGGAGATCACCTCCGGCGCCAGGTACTCGTGCGTCCCGACGAACGACTTCGACCGCGCGTTCACCGGCTCCGCCACCAATTCCGATTCCATCTGCCCTCCGCGATGGAGGTGATAATGGTTCTGTTTTTTCTCACCGCACTCCACCTGTTCGACGATTGTCCTGACCGAACTCTGTTTCCTCCTCGACGAAAAACAGGACAAAACGGGGCGAATCGGCGTAGCACAAGACGGCGTGAAACAAGCTTCCCTCCCGTTTCTCCCACCACCTACCTCATCGTCGCAGTCGTCATCACCATCGGCGGCCGAAGGCCGCCGGAGCAGCTTCGGGACGACGTCGCATTTGAGGCAGAGGTCAAAATCCGACAACATGATATGCCCATCTTCTCTAACGAGTACGTTCTCCGGCTTCAAATCCCTGTACACTATCCCCATCATGTGTAGATACTCCAACGCAAGCAGCGTCTCCGCCGCATAAAACCTGAGAAATTGAAACAAACACACACCAAATTAAACTCTTTGTTTACACAGTAGTGTTCTTCTTGTTTGTTTCACCCGGAGGGCGCGAATTACTTCTAAACAATTTAAGAAGTCAATTTTACTCACTTGGCAGAGGAAACAGGGAAGCGCTTCCCTGGCTGGCGCTGCCGGGCGGCGTACAGATCGCCGCCGGGGCAGTACTCCATGACCAGGCAGGAGTAATGGGAAGCTTCGAAATCGGCGTAGAGAGTGGGCAAAAAGGGGTGATCGAGCATGGCGAGAATCTCCTTCTCCATCTCTGCCCTCTGCAGCTTGTTCCTGATAGCCAGAGCTTCTTTGTCCACAACTTTCATGGCGTAGGAGCACTGGGGGAGACCCACTACCGGGTTTCTGATCTGGCAGAGGTAGACGTTGCCCAGGTCGCCGCTGCCCAGCCGGCGGAGGAGGCGGAAGCTGTCGAGTCCGACGGTTCGGCCGGCCTGCAGGCGCTTGATGGCCTGCCAGGCGGTCTGGTTGGACTTGTGGGGCTTTTTGTGGGAGTAATTGGGTTCGGCGAGGGAGGAAGCGACGGAGATGGAGCTCCGGCGGCTGCCGAAGCTGAGGTTGCTCATCCAGCTCCGGCTGGAGTCGGGGACGGTGATGGAGGAGGAGCTGCTGTCGTAGTCGGACTGGTCATCGCGGGGAGTTATGGATGCCATTTTCTGCGGTGAGCATAGGTTTGTGGGTTGGATCGAGAGAAAAAAGGGGTTTTAGTTTTAGGGTATTTTTTTTGGGTTGTGTGTGAGAGGTAATGTGATGTGAGGGTATATTCTTACAAAGGAGGGGTCTTATATATTGGGAAGAGGGGTATGGGTTGGTTGTTATTGTGTCTTTGGGTAGCACATGAAATACTTTAATGTTAGTACTGTTATTGTTTTGGGTTTTAAATAAGATGAAAATGAAAACAAAGTTACAAATGTATGCTTTTTTGTTATTAGTAGTTTAGTATTAGGTTACACCCTAGCTAACACTTTCAATGAGAGGAAAGGGTTCATGTGAATGTAGGGGTGGACAACGATTCAGTTCGCGCACCGAATCGATATTTCGACTGAATTGATCGGATCGAATATATTTAGATAGGTTCAATACCTATGAATTATTGAAAATAGGAAGGAGAAAATGACTGAAATTAAATATGGACTGGGGGAATCAAACCAAATGAACCAAACGTGTTTATGGTTCGATTCTGGTGAACTCTGAATAAAATACTCAGATGATTGTGCTACCGTCACCGGGAAGACTTCGTCTCATGTACCAAAGGTGCCTCCGGGAACACCAAGAAGGCGGTACTGGGATTCGAACCTGAGACCTTGTCACATCCCAAACCTGAAATCCAACCCTTTACCAACTAGGTTGTCTTACATCAGCGTTGTCCATAAGAAGCTTACTTACCCAAACTCATAATATTTTTCTCGACTTCAACTCGATCAAAATCTATTTGGTATAGTCTGATCCAGCGTTGACCAACCTGTCGTTCATGTTAAATTTTATGCAGCTAACCTATTTAGTTTTTTTTTTTACAAATAATTTATTTGGTATAGATGGTACATAGCCAACTGTAAAATGACTACCAACAGGATATGATAGTACCATGGCACTTGCTAGATCATATCATTGTTTTCTCAATATACTTTCTCGGAGGCAATTTAGGGGTCGTTTGCTTGAGGGTTTTGGTGATGGATTTGGTCATGGAAATATATCCATCATGGACTTGAACCGAAATCCATCGTTTGCCTTAGGGAATTAGGGAGATGGAATTTGTGGGCCCCACCACTTTTGGGGTTCCAAATCCGTGGACCCCACGGACTTGGAAGTTCCACCTCTTGAGGTGGGATTTGGGTGATGGATTAAAATCCATGATGGTAAATTACCTTTCTACTCTTAATTATTTCTTTAATTATAAATTTGTCCTACTTTAATTCAATGGTCATGCAACTGTAAACTTTTATAATTTCGTATTTTATAAAATTGAGAATTTATCATTTCATTTTGTAATATCGTATTTTATTTAAATATGAATGTATATGTGATTTGTTAGATTCACCTAGAAACACTTTATGCTCATCTTGTACGTTATTATTTGATTGATTGTCGGATTCCACATCGGTGAGTTAGCAAGAAGATGATGAGTTGTAGCAATAAAGCGAGCAATTGGGTGCAATTGATACATAATATTGCGTACATTATTAGATGAATTGTTTTTTTATGAATGATTATTAGATGCATTTTTAATTAGTGCCAAGATGAATTGTTAATTAGTGCCAAATTGTAATACATTTTTATATTTGTAGTTGAATTATTAATCCATATAGTGGTAAAGAGTTTAAAATTTCTTTCTATGTTTTGGATTAGTTTTAAATGAAAGATTTGGATTATAATATAGAAATATAATTAAATAAGGGTAACTAGGTAATTTGTATTTAATATCCACAAATCTAATCAAACAAAGTCCATAATCAAATCCATCAAGCAAACAATAGACTTGTTCAAATCCATAATGCCACCAAATCCATCATATATCCATGGTTTTTTAAAACCCAGGTTTTACCAAAACCTTCATTTTTCAAATCCATGAAGCAAACGACCCGTTAGAGGTAATAATTTGGAAAGGACAAATCCTTATATGTTGGGTGAATTTATGCAAGGATACTTACCAATACCTTGGGTATGGATTTTGAAATTCAAAGGGAATTTGATACAATCAATGATTCAATGTGCAGACCCAAAATTCATTCTAACTTACCCATGTATAAAATATGCAAATGCTATATGGGTTTTTGTCTTCGAAGGCATGCCTAAGTAAGCTGACACAACCACTAGTCTTTGTTGTGCACTAAAGTTGATGAAATATTTGATATCTAGAAAGGGAAGAATGTCAAAACCGATTTAAACAAAGACAAAGTTTCATTGTGGCCTCTACTTTGTTACTTCATCTTTTAGGTATCCTATGATCAGTCACTAACCTTTTTCCATGATGTGTTCTTTGTGGCCATGTATTTTTTTTAACATATTCTATCTAATTCATTACAAGTTTCAATAGAATAGTATAATACTACTTGAATTCATGATGCTTCTCTTGAAGAAAGCCAAGAATCATACTGCCACGTCTAGGAAGATTACGTTGTTCCAACTGAGATTATACCAATGCCTCTTTTGGAGATATGGTGAGGACAAAGGTGATAAAATAAGCCTCAAGCTTAGGTGCTAATCAATTTATAATTGGGTTTGTCTCATGATGAGGCATCCGCCATTGAAATTAAGGCCTATGAATAGAACTCTTCGAACTTTATTTGAAGAAAACTTTGAACAAGGAGATTACTTTGTCTTCGGACTAACTCATCAGAGTAAGAAATCGATCCGAATATAGAGGGCTAGAGTGGTGGTCAGGATAGCGACTTAGACGTCTTTTTTTTCCTTTAGGTTGTTATTTTCAGAAGTTAGGTACACTATTGTCTTTCGATTGATATATTTTTTTTATTTCTGTCCCTCTATGAGTGGCTCAATCTAGCAACCACGAGTCACAACCACCATCAGTTTAGCAAGTGTCATGGTACAACTTTGACATAATGGCATATATATCAGTACACGTGATCATCTTAATTGCCTTATAAGATCAGTTTGCCATGTCAATCATATATAGCATATCATCAATTTTGGATACAAAGATTGTAAGACCCATGTGATACTTATCTGATCATCAGAATCGGTTACATGCACTTATTCATCTATTTAAAAACGTAAAAAAAAAATTATAGAAGGCATACGATGTTAAAAAAAAAGCTCTCAAATTTGGTTCTTCTTTTTCACACTAAGAAGAACAAAACAACCCATTTCATCGATTTTCATCAACATACTCAAAGATAACTGTGGAATCAAAACACAAAAGTCTACCTAGTATCCACTTTTTTTTACCATTGAATTGGTGGGCTTAACTTCTTTTGCATATACTTTTGAAAAAGAATTATGGAGTTGCAGGAGGAGGGTGCAGCCTTGAGTGACTGAGCGTGGGATGGCAGTAGTCGAGAGAGTGACTGTTTTGGGACTATTGGAGATGGTCAAAAGCTTTTGTTCTTTTCTGGTAAAAGGAATAATTCTAGAGAATGGAATGGGCACCCCCACTCCATTTTTCTACATTACTTTTTTCACTTTCCTTGTAACAATTGGCTGTGAATTGTTAATTACTTCTTTTCTATAACAGTGAAACAATACTATATATAATCACTTGTTTCTTTCATTGGGTTAACAATTAATCACATTTTTATAGGGTAAAAAAAGTTAATGGGTACTTTTCTTAACAAGTATAAGAAGGTGAGTCAGCTATCATGTATAACATGTGTAGATTGATTCGTTGTATTCTTATCTTTATGTTTCAGATTGAGTAAAGAGGGTATTTTTCTGGCGCGGGAAGGAGTAAGGATTTATTAAAGTAACAAAAGTTAAAATTGTATTTTTCAATTAAGATGGCGAATTCACGTAGAAAAGGTATCATGTTCAAGTTTTATGTACTGGTATTGACACCATATTCTCCCTTTTTTTTTTTTGACAAAAGATAATCAATAGATTGAAACAAATAGATCATTACATCCTGGAATACAGCCAGGCCTGGAAATCAAAAGATCGACACGCAGTCGGGAACAATGATAGGGCTTTTCTAGCTACCAAATGAGCTACCCTATTGTTTCTTCGACCTACAAATCGCACAGAGAACCCTACGTTTGACGCAAATGAATTGACTATCTCCTCCAAAATTGCCCCGATGTGATTGTCCCGAACATCCTTCCGGAGAACCTTCTCAATAATCACCTGAGCATCACCTTCAAACCTCATGATAGGTAATCCATTCGCCAAACACCAGCCAATCGCCTCACGGAGAACCAGAGCTTCCACCATCAAAGGATCAGTAAGGAACGGGAGGTGAATCCCCTTGGCAAGGATGACTTCCCTGGCCGAGTTAAGGATAACCATCCCCCCGCCATATTCTCCCTTCGTAAAGATGTTCTTATGTTTTTCCTAGGAGATGAAAAACTAGGATGATATGTGAAGGAGATACTAGATTAAGATTGCAAATTCATTCATGAAGGTGGTGGGTTTGGAATCTTGCAAAGTAGAAACTACTAGTTGATGCTCTTCCTCCCTTTCCAAGGACAAAGTATAATTCTTCACTTTTTACAAGAGATGGGGAACTAGAACTCCTTTACCTATTTGTAGTATTGAGGGAAACCCCATAAGTGGAACAAAGAGAGGAACAATTTTGGAGCAATGAGATTCAATTGGGGATGTTACCATTTAACCTACCATGATATAAGAAGGCTGGTTTGTGGATACTACACCTACTAGCTAGGGATCAGCATCAGTGGTACTACTTACTTGGAAATCTAATAAGCATATTTCTATTTCTAGATACTCTGTGATGAGTGGAGAGCTTTGGCTCCCCTTACTTGCATGTGAAGTTCAATGGTTGCATCCATAAGTAGAATTAGGTGTGGATGTTTGTAAGAATTATGGATCTAGACATGTTCGTTTACGGTTATGAGATTGAGATTTGAAAGTTTATCTGGAATTAGGGATTGGATAGATATTAGAATTGAGGAAAGAAGAGGGATTAAGGAAAGGAAGAAGAGAAGAGAGGGGTAGGGTTTAGTTTCGACTAGAGACCCATGAATATAAAGACTGATGAATTACCTCAGAATACCCATGATTTAACTTTCATAGCTGAATAGTCAAATGTCACCCTAAAAACCTCCTACAAATACT